TGTAAATTTAAAAAAAAACTCGAAACACATAAAATTGCATACCATAATAAATATCTTATTTTAAATATTCTGATAATAAAATCCCGTGTGTATATATAATTCTTTAAAATGCTTACTTAGAGGATATAATTATTTTTTATTTAATTTCAAAAAATATAAATAGCCATTTATATAAATAGCCTTTTTATATAAATATATATAATTATATAAATTTTTCTATATGGGCAAGCTTTTATGCATAATATTTAAATTGGATTAATAATTTCGATTCTATCTTCATTACTGTATATCTCTTAAATCATATAATACAGAATAATTTACATAATACATGCACTTTTATAACTTGGTTTGTCGAAAAATAGTAAGAATTGTATATAAATACATTCTTTAAATTGTATATAAGTATTATACATTTATTAAATTTTTATTAATTAAATAAGTAATATATTTCATAAATATTTTCTATATATAATTCTTGTTATTTTTTAAATGAATTAATTTATTTGTAAAGATATATATTTTATGAATTATCTCTCTCTTATATACGCAACAATGATAAGAATGAACATGGGCAACCCAATGAACACAAAGCAATACAATAATATAACGTTAATGATATAATTTCTCATTTAACAATATGTAATTATTGCATATTACATTGCAATTACATTGCTCAATGGAAATTATAACATTAATGCACAGACCTCTATATAGATCGTTAATGTCGCTATAATATATCGTTAAATATATAATAAGTCCTCATTATAATGGGGTACCATAAATGGCCTACATAACTCCATGTGTAACATCGCTAGGCTAGTATAATGTAGAGAAATCTGTGCAATAATGTTATATTATTGTCGCTATGTGTTTATGGATTGATTTGCTTATTATTATTATTAAATTATTATACGAACCATCAGGAACGATCACAGAGAGAACTGCTACATTTTCTGTATTAGAATTCACGAATGCCTGCATGCTTCAAGAAAATTCTATTAAAAATGTGCTGTGCACACTGCTAACTGCTCTCGAGTGCTATTCGTGAGCGCGATCTTTTGTTAAATAATTCAACCAAGAATACTTGCATTTACCACATTTATGTGTTGTATACAAATATGCAAGGCGCACAACACTACTTTATATCTATGCATGTGTTTAGGTGGAAATGGAGAAAGATTATTGTATTTTTGTCTGTATTTGACCAATTAGTTTTTCCTACATGTCTCGAGTAAATACAATAGAAATGAGATAAAGATTACCTGCTGTGATGGGACTCGAGATCTTCCCCAACTATTCTGGAGGTTCGAATGTTCTGGCACCATGTACGACAATAAGTTCGTGAAAAGAAATTTCATTTTCTACTCATTTATTTAAACAACTTTTGCTGAAAGCCTAAAAATGATTACTAAATTAAAAGAATTAATAGAAAAAAAATTGTAAAAAAGAATAAATCGATAAAATAAGTAAATTTTTTTTAATAATAAATAATAAATTTTATTAGTAGAAGAATATTAAAATAATTGAAATTAATTTAATTTAATAATATATGGCATAAAATGTGTTCAAGATAGAGTCAAAATATATATATATTAAATAAATAAATAAATAAATAAATAAATAAATAATTAAATAAATAAAAATAAAAATCTATGCATGTACTTATGAAATTAGGAAAATTTATATTATTATTGTAAGTAAATTATAATTATATTAATTATAAATACTATTTAAATTACAAGTATTTTTTACGCCATCAGCATTAAAATGTCTCTCTCGATATAAAAATAAATCTTAAAAACTTTGCATTCTTAGTGCGCACAACACTACCTGCGTCAGGCAATTTTCTATGAATGAACGCGCATGTATTGCACGTTGAGCTTTAATTTACTCGCGAACGAATTTACTTGCGAAAGATAAGGAGGAGAAGAGGGGAGGAGTGCATTATGACGATTGCATCTAGCGAAGGAGATAATATGTATGCCTGTGTATATGTGGGAGGTCACAATATTTTCCCTACGTTATATGGATGTCCGTCGTTTATCGAACGACTTTTGTTCTTCAAAAGTCGACAATAAGTGCTCATAATGTACAATATATGAGCGCAGAGTTGCCATCGTTAATGGCGAGTCTGGAGTGTAAATTCTGTCGGTTTTAAGTATAAATTCGTAGCTTATTCGGTTCCGCAAGTCGTGCGATTCGTCGGGCTTTCGAATTATTTTCTAATTAATTTCATATTTTCAACAGTTAGTTCAACAGTTAGTTCAATTTCATATTTTTAACAGTATATATGTTCAACACGTTAAGCTAGTTAAATTAGAGTGTGTGAAATTAGCACCCCGACATGCAGTTATGATAATTCCGATTAGAGTTCTAGTTTCCTCTTAAAGAGTTTAAGAGTTTTTATTAATAAAAACTTTATTATTAATAAAAAGAGTTCCGTCGATTAACAGTTCCAAATTTGAATTTGAAAAATGGGATGCTAACTTCTTGAAAATCAAGATCGAATAGTTCCGAATAGCTTAATTGTTTTATTTTGCATGATACTAGAGTTCCTGATACTTAAAAGAAAAAATCAGTCGACCACAAAAAATAAAAAAATTTTTTAAATTTAATTTCGATATACAATAGTTATGGCAAATTTTTAATGTTTCCTTATTTATTCCTAAGAGTTCTTGCCAATTAAAAAAAAATTATACCTACTCAAAAATAAAAAAGTTACAGCCTCGTTGCATAAATTTTCTAAATACGGAGGGAAATTAATTTGAAGAGTTCCAATAGTTCTCGCAACAGTTTTGGCTAGTATTCCAAAAGTTACAAAAATAATCCCAATGATTAAAAGCAATACATTTAATCATTAAAAATTTATTCGACGTTAAAGACACTTCGCTGCATAAATTTTCTAAGTACAGAGGGAAATTAATTTAAAGAGTTCCAATAGTTCTCGCAACAATTTTGATTAGTATTCCAAAAGTTATAAAAATAATTCTAGTGATTAAAAGCGATTCGATTAATAATTAAAAATTTATTTGACTTTAAAGGTACCTCGTTGCGTGAATAAATCAAAACTAATCAAAACTATTAGAACTTAACTTCACATTCCCCTATTATAGAATTATGTAAATTATGGTTAAAACAAATCTCATAGGTTTAGGAATATTATTGAATCAGTAAAAACAATTGGTTTGATTGATAACTTTGATTTTATTGCAAGAAGTTAAAACAATTTGAGTTGATAAAACAATTTCTTAACTATCATACTAATTATATAATTATATAAGTTGGTAAAGTATTATAATAAACGTTGAAGATTATGTAAATAATTAATTAATCATTTTATTTTTCATAATAAAAAGTTAAAAATAAAATAAATAATTTTGTTTTATTTTGTTATATATATATATATATATATATATATATTTATATACATAATATTATATATATACATATATACATATATTATACAGCGTGTGTCAAAAGTTCCGGGACGGCTGGATAATTTGAAAAATACGCATCACAGAGGAAAATGACCTAGACAAAAGTTGTAGGATTTTTCCCAGGCAATCCGACGGTGACCTTAGATTTGACCTTGGATAGTCATTTGAAGGTCACATAAAGATTACCTTCAATTTCTTAAATGGAACCCCCTATTTTTCATTGCATATTCTTGTAGCTTATCTCGAGAGCTTTCCAAAACACTATAATTAAGTACCTTTTTATTAAGTACTTTTTGAGTTATAAGGCTTGAAATAATTTCTTGAAATAATTTCGTAAATTTACATAAACCATAAAATATCTAGTAAACCATTCATTTTTCGATTATCTTACCTTCATACTTTTATGTACAAAATAATGAGAGGAATCAATTGGTGTAAAGAAAACATACAGTTGTTTTTAAGAAAAAATATGGAATTGTTAATTGCAAATTACATATTTTTTCTTAGAAACAACTATGTGTTTTCTTTACACCAATTGATTCCTCTCATTATTTTGTACATAAAAGTATGAAGGTAAGATAATCGAAAAATGAATGGTTTACTAGATATTTTATGGTTTATGTAAAATTAAGAAATTATTTCAAGCCTTATAACTCAAAAAGTACTTAATAAAAAGGTACTTAATTATAGTGTTTTGGAAAGCTCTCGAGATAAGCTACAAGAATATGCATTGAAAAAGGGGGTTTCCATTTAAGAAATTAAAGGTGACCTTCACGTGATCTTCAAACGACTATCCAAGGTCAAACCAATGACACTATCTTATGTCCCCCTCGAAGTCACAAAACTTTTGTCTGAAACATTTTTCTTTAAAATGTCGCGTTTACGAAAAAATCGGGTGAGACGGGTGGTCTGGGACACCCTGTATATATATATATATATATATATATATATATATATAACAAAATAAAACAAATTTATATATATATATATATATATGTAGGGACAATTGTCTCCTACTCCGCCCGTGTTACATACACACGCACATTTTCCACACATGTCCGAAATCCTACCAACTTTCTAATTCCCGCATGCATGCATCCGCTTTCACCTCAATAGAATTTACAACCCTTGCATGTTTCGCAGCCGTCCTCCGAGTCTATAGATTGCCATGTAACATTTGGCAAACACATGGTTTTTCCTTATGCAATTCATCCCTTGTAAAATTTCTCCTATTATAAAAAACCTTTCTCGGTTCATGCATGCGGAATCCAGATTTCCAGAGAGTAGTAACTTCCCGGCTTGCACAGAGTTCACATCACCCGATTGAACACGATACTACTGACTCGCTCGCGTACAGACACATCACGCTCACATCAGATATACTCATTTAACAATTGTATTATAAAAGAAACAAATACAGAATCATTATTTATTCCAACGTAGAGTCTTAGTTGTGACATACCCCACAAATTGGTGACCCCGACGTGATCTCTTTTTTTTTTTCGCGAACCGTGAGTGATCTGTGCCGTGCATCGTAGTGCTGGACGCTCCGAGTTTATCAGTATGGCGCACAACAACGCTAGTGGTGTCGCGAACCGCGAAACGGCGAACCCGTCACATTCGTCGTCGATCGATCGGGTATCAGTGAAAGTGCCATCATTCATACCCGCGGACCCGGAGTTGTGGTTCAGGATGCTGGAGGGCGGTTTCGCAGCTGCAGGAATAACGCAGAGCAGCACCAAATATGGCTACGTAATCACAGCCCTCGATCAAAGGTACGCTCTGGAGGTCCGCGACATACTTATGAGGGAAGAACAATCGTACGAACTCTTAAAAACCGAGCTGATCAAACGCCTTGGCTCTTCACGCGAGCAGAACACGCGTCGCCTGTTGGAGAACGAGCCTCTCGGAGATCGTAAACCGTCGCAGTTCCTCAGGCATCTTCGCGGTCTTGCCGGCAAGGAGTTCCCGGAGGACGTCTTGCAGACGCTCTGGCTGGGCCGTCTGCCTAGGCACGTCCAGGCCCTCCTCGCGGCGCATCGGGACCTCACGCTCGATAAGCGAGCCGATATCGCGGATTCCATCGCGGACTTGTACGGCCCGGCAGGTCTCATCGCCGAGACGTCAACCCCCGCACCTCAGCCTGCCCGAGCACACGGTGACGATCTGATTCGTGTAATGGCGGAGATGGTACGGAGGCTCGAGGCGATCGAGGTTAATACCCAAGGAGCGCGTCAGCCAACTAGCGGATCCTGCGAAGCCTGCGGAAGATCGCGCTCACGCTCTCCGTCGCGCTCGCGTTTCCGGTCGCGCTCGCGATCACGGAGCCAGCGTCCTGATGCAGCTGGCGAGATATGCTGGTACCATTGGCAATACGGCGACAAGGCAAGAAAAGTGCGAAAAGCCGTGCAAGTACAGTGATAGATCTCCGGGGAAACGAACAGGGCAGTCGCTAATGGCGGCCGACGACATCAGCCCCGCGATATCGCGCCGCCTCTTTGTCAGCGATCGATCCACCAAAATTACTATTCTTTAATTGATACGGGAGCCGACGTGTGGCGTATTTCCCACGCTCGCGGCCTACCGGGACCTCGTACGAAATCAAGTTACGAGCTCTCCGCGGCTAACGACACAACAATCGCTACATACGGAACAGTAGCGCTAGCTCTGGACTTTGGACTGCGACGGCAATTCACCTGGAGGTTTGTCGTCGCCACGGTCTCCAAGCCAATCATCGGTGCAGACTTCCTCGTGCACTACGGACTCTTGGTGGACATGAGGAACCAGCGGCTGTTGGACGCGACCACTCAACTCACCTCTCATGGAAGGGTGATTGAGTGTGACATTCCGAGTGTTAAGACCATTTCAGGCTCGTCGCGGTATCACGAACTCCTCCACCAATTCCCGGAGGTGACACGACCGGACGGAACCCCCAAGGCCGTAAGTCACTCGACGAGACATTACATCACCACCACACCAGGGCCGCCTGTCGCACAGAAGCCACGTCGACTTTCAACAGAGAAGTTGAAGGCGGCGAAGAAGGAATTCGAGGCCATGCTGCACCTGGGCATCGCTCGCCCGTCACAGAGCTCCTGGGCATCGCCCTTACACATGGTGCCGAAAAAAGGCGATGACTGGCGTCCTTGCGGAGATTATCGCGCCCTTAATGCGAGAACCTGCCCGGACCGATATCCCGTGAGACACATCCAGGATTTCTCCCAGTCACTTCATGGGAAAAACGTCTTTTCCACCGTCGATCTGGTACGAGCCTTCAATCAGATTCCTGTCGCGGAGGAGGACATTTCTAAGACAGCCATCACGACGCCTTTCGGTCTCTTCGAATTTGAGTACATGACCTTCGGGTTGCGTAATGCCGCGCAGACTTTCCAGCGCTTCATTGACGAGGTGCTGCAAGGTCTGGAGTTCTGCTACGCATACATTGACGACATCCTCATCGCATCAACATCAGAAGCAGAACATCTAAAACACCTGAGGATTCTGTTCGAGCGGCTGAAGAAGTATGGAGTCGTCATCAACCCAGCTAAATGCGTATTCGGACAGCCCGAAGTCAAATTTCTCGGCTACCTTGTTTCCGGCGCAGGGACGCGCCCGTTACCGGAGAAGGTCGACGCCATACGGACCTATCCACGACCCGACACGGTGAAGAAATTACGTCAATTCTTGGGCATGTTGAATTTTTATCGAAGATTCTTGCCCAAGGCTGCAGAGACGCAAGCACCACTTAACAACCTGCTGTCAGGCAATGTTAAAGGGAAGTCGCCAGTCAACTGGACGTCAACAACTATAGAGGCATTTGAAGCAAGCAAGGAATGCTTAGCCCAAGCAACCTTGCTGGCTCATCCCGAGCCCGACGCATCGCTCGCAATCTTCAGCGACGCGTCAGACTACGCAGTCGGAGCAGCCCTACAACAACGGATCGGAGACGCCTGGCAACCCCTGGAATTCTTTTCCAAGAAGCTAAGTCCTGCGGAAGCAAAGTACGGAGCCTACGATCGGGAGTTACTTGCTGTTTACCTAGCAATCAAGCATTTCAGGCACACCGTGGAAGGACGATCATTCACAGTTTACACGGACCACAAACCTCTCGTCTATGCGTTCCACAAGAAGTCGGCCCAATGTTCACCTCGACAATTCAGACACCTGGACTTCATCGGACAATTCACCACCGATATCCGCCATGTTTCCGGGGAGGACAACGTAGTAGCAGACGCTCTGTCACGCGTAGAGGAAGTTGAGCATACGCTCGATTACGAAGCCTTGGCAGCAGCCCAACAACAAGACGAAGAGCTCCAGCGATATCTAGAGGAAGACTCCACCCTCTTAATAAAGAAGGTACGCATCCCCGGCACCGACGTTGCAGTTTTTTGCGACGTCTCAACACAGACAGCGCGGCCCTTCGTTCCTCAGGAGTTCAGGAAAGTCGCATTCGATTCGCTGCACCAGCTGTCCCACCCGGGAATCAACGCGACGGTCAAGCTCGTAACCCAGCGCTACGTATGGCCGTCGATCAAAGCTGATTGCAGACAATGGGCCCGCAGCTGCATCCAATGCCAACGCGCCAAGATCTCTCGCCATGTCTCATCACCTGTCGGTACATTCGCACCACCTTCTGCCAGGTTCGAGCATATACATATTGATATCGTAATCATGCCACCGTCTGAGGGATACCGATACTGCCTAACTATGGTAGACCGATACTCTCGCTGGCCAGAAGCTGTTCCCCTGCAGGATCAAGAAGCTGCAACTGTCGCACGTGCTCTCTACGACGGATGGATATCTCGGTTCGGCACGCCGTTGAGAATAACCACGGATCAAGGCAGACAATTCGAGTCGTATCTTTTCAAGCAATTAAATCACTTGTTAGGTACGACTCACCTGAGAACAACCGCATACCACCCTTCAGCCAACGGCATGGTTGAACGGCTGCACCGTCAACTAAAAGCAGCAATCATGTGCCAACAACAATGCCGATGGACACAGAGCCTTCCCACCGTCTTGCTGGGATCCGCTCAGCTTGGAAAGAGGACCTGCAAGCCACGGCAGCCGACATGGTCTACGGACAGTCGCTACGCCTCCCGGGCGAGTTCTTAGGATCTCTCCACCGCGAAAACGCAGCGGACAACGTGTCAGATTTCATCAAGGAGCTACGCCAACATCTGAGGGAATTGAGACCGACGAAGATATCTCGCCACGGTACGGGGAAGACATTCATTTTCAAGGACCTTGCTACCTCGGAGGAAGTCTTTGTACGCCATGATGGTCTCAAACAGCCTCTGCAACAGCCGTATGACGGCCCGTACAAAGTCATCAAAAGGGCAGAAAAGACGTTCGTGGTTCGTATGAACGGCCGGGACGTTACGGTTTCTATCGACCGCCTTAAACCAGCGTACATCATGGCCAATGATCCAGTCGTCTCTCAGGATGGCAACAACGAGGAGGACGTTCCAGGCCCTTCCGAAAAGGGCACAGTAATTACAGACTACCCGATACACAGAAACACACACATCTAAAATCAACACTAGAAAACTCGACCAAACACGTAACCAAGTCAGGTAGACGTGTCCGCTTTCCGGACCGGCTACAAGGAGGATTTTCGTAAATTCTTATATATCGTTAAACACTAGCAGGGGGGTACTGTAGGGACAATTGTCTCCTACTCCGCCCGTGTTACATACACACGCACATTTTCCACACATGTCCGAAATCCTACCAACTTTCTAATTCCCGCATGCATGCATCCGCTTTCACCTCAATAGAATTTACAACCCTTGCATGTTTCGCAGCCGTCCTCCGAGTCTATAGATTGCCATGTAACATTTGGCAAACACATGGTTTTTCCTTATGCAATTCATCCCTTGTAAAATTTCTCCTATTATAAAAAACCTTTCTCGGTTCATGCATGCGGAATCCAGATTTCCAGAGAGTAGTAACTTCCCGGCTTGCACAGAGTTCACATCACCCGATGATGACACGATACTACTGACTCGCTTCGCGTACAGACACATCACGCTCACATCAGATGATACTCATTTAACAATTGATTATAAAAGAAACAAATACAGAATCATTATTTATTCCAACGTAGAGTCTAGTGTACATACCCCACATATATATATTAACAAAATAAAACAAATTTATATATATATATTGCGACGTTTCTTCAATCAATTTAAATTATTCGCAACACTCCCGAGGTGTTGGAGAGAGCATGCGCAGGGGACGAAAATGCCGAATATATAATATATATCCTATATATATATATTATAACAAAATAAAACAATTAATATATATTATATATATATATATATATAACAAATAAAACAAATTTATATATATATATTGCGACATTTCTTCAATCAATTTAAATTATTCGCAACACTCCTCGAGGTGTTGGGGGGACATCTACGCAGGGGAGCGAAAATGCCGTAAAAAAAAAATAGCGAAATTAATGTACTCGCGCTCTGAGGAACAGGGATGGATGGCGTTCTCGCGCGAGTCGCGGCGGGAGCGGAGACGTTCGATATCTCGATAGTTGGGGCGCTAGATGCGGTTTCACAGCATCAGTTTTCGACGAAACGTCAAAGAACGCGAAAAATAATAGCCTGCTTCACCACGGGCCGAGCTAGCTCGCCTAACGCTAGAGGGGAGGGGTTTTGGAAGAAAGTCGAGTTGATTTATGCGAGACTTCAACTAATTCAAAACGGCGACAGACGCGATGAAGATCCCAATGATTAAAAGCGACAATCGAAAATCACGACGAGAACTAACACTCAAATAAATTTACGCGCTTTAACAAAGAATATCAATAAATTTATTAGTAAAGAAATAATATAAAAGAAAATGTAGAAATAAACTTGAATAACAATCAGATTGAAAACGACGGTTCACAATAAA